CTAACTTTATTTCTTTCCCACATAAACCCATCTAACAATGTCTTGAAAACATCACTAAACGTTTCCTTTAGTAAAATTACTCTTTCACTGCAAAATTTTTCTCCAAACAAAATTTGCTTTTCGACTTTCATCAGTAAAGTACCTCCTGTGCTGACTCTGAAATGCGGATGTGCACTTGTTTTATACAATGTGCATAAACCTTTTTTGGGGGGAAGAGAGTGGCTTTTAATTTCCATAAATATCGTTTATCCTTAAATTTGCGGCAACAGTTAAAAACAGTGTTTTTTGAATGGTTGGGCTTAACCCATGATATCCCTTTTAAGAAATGAATTAAATAAAATAGGCTTTCAAGGTATGATAACCTTGGTCACTAAACATCTTTTAGTAAAATTATACTAATATTTTTAAAGGGTATTTAGAGTGATAAAAAAACTTTTCTTCTTACAGGCACGATATAAATATTTAAATTCATATATTTTAACTGAAAGATGTTCTTTAGCTAAAATTAGTGTAGTATGGAAAACTCTCTCATCTTATTTAATAAATCTGTATCATTTAATTTAGTAATTAGATACGGTCTACGAACAACCATTCAAAAGATATTTAGTCGTCTAATCTTTAATCTTTTTCAAACACCTTGCACATCTGCAATAATGATTGCATAAATATCTCTTAAGGCCCAAAACAGACAATTTGTGGCCTTATACTTAATAGTACCCATATTTTTAATATTTTCCAGGGAAAAAAGTGTTGTACGTTTTTCTTAATTGCAAGATGAATTTGGGATCTTAGGCAAGAGCATAAACAATAATCAGAGACTGTTTTAAGCATATGACAAATTTCTAATCCTTTTTCAAAAACAGCTTAAACTGAAATCACAGGGGTTAATTTCAAGAACTTTCACTTGATCTTGAGCATTTTTTGAAACTGGGATTGATTCAGTTTTTTAGCTTCACAAGTATAGCACCAAGTAATTTATAATAGGGATAATTTCTATTCTAACAGGGATAATTTCTATCTATCTGAAATTCACGGAAACAGAACTGATGCTTGAGACTACGACTTGCACTTTTCATGTTATGTACGAATGTTTAATGGCATTGGATATTGAAAGTCTGCAATAGCCTGCAGAATAAACTTTGCGTATTTCTCTTGCCTTATCCCATATGTAACACAAATCTTGTGCAGTTTTCCCTAAAACGTCCCTCCCCACAGACATCTGCCCTGTTAAGCATAAAATACTTGTGGACTTAACCTTTGTCATTTAAGGTAATGTAACTAATCCAGTAGTTAGTATCTTATATTAAACGTTGGTAAATCCTTTGGCATATATCTGATATTCCTGACATAAGACTATCTTCATATTTACGCTAGCCTTTCGTAATTAGGATGAACAACTGTAATATGTTTAAAACTGTATGCATTGTACTTCACCATATCAAATCAAACAAATCGCGTATTTTATCAAGAGGTGACAGTAGTTTTGGGGATTATCTATTTTTGGGACCTGGTAAAATGTGTAGTTCAGACAGTTTCATTATGTTTTCATACATTTAATCTCTCACGCCTTCTGTTTTCTAGCGTGTTTGATAGTTGTTTGTCTCATTTTTAGTTCATCGAGACGAGTGATATTTTGAAAAGTGCTTTATAATCTTTAATATGGTGCCTAATAAAAAGTACAACAATTTTTACAGAACAATAAAAACCTATCATACTGTGTATTGTGCAAAATGCAGGAACAGTAGCTTATAAACAACACTTCCACTAAAACATCTCAGACCCTACACACTATTTTGACACAACCTACTGTTTATAATCAAATCAAGTTATAAGAATTTTTAGATAAGCTTCAAAAAAAAAAGTTTGCAAAAGCACAGTTAATGATTTTTAAACATTAATGAAAAAAAATTCGAAAGGAAACTAATTGGCTTATATTCATGCTATAACGGGAAGGTCATTAAAATGACATTTATAACTTTTACTAGTATTGACCGGTTGAAATTCAGATTTATAGCTGTTTCTAGTAATAGCTCAAAATATAAATATTTAACTATTAGATATCCAAAAATTTTAGCATACTATATTGATAAACGTTAGGATATATCTGTAAACATTTTTTCTTCAGTTTTTATTTTTGGCTTATATTAGCTACCTACAGTACGCAGGAGATTTAAGTTTTTGCCTTAATTCAAATTTATGAGAAGCACGTACTCAAAGCTATCTAAAATTTCAACATTCAAATAAATAATTTTGCGCTCAAAATAGGTTCGTATGCAAAGCTATCAAAATTTTTAATGTCATTAATTTCATGAAATAGAAAAATGTATGGTATGAAATAAAATAATAATGGATACAAATGGAAAATTCATGTAGCAAATGGTCTTTCGTAAACTTTATGTCACTTGTGGAATGAAAGGTAAAATTTTTAAACATAATAAATTTATATTTATTTTAATTACAAAGCTCTACATATATTCAATTATTTTTAATTTTTAATATTTTAATTCAAAATTCTATGGCAAAAGCCGCAACAGTGAACTTACTGAATAAACCTACAATGCAGCACACACAAAAAATAAATAAATAAATAAAATGAAATTTTAAAGGTCGAGATAAATTGTAATAAACTGAAGATAAACTCCTATGATTTTTAAAAACTTGTCAGAAGCATGTTCTATTAAATTTTTACATCCAGAAAATATACAATGGTTAATCCATCATAGCAGAAATCACGAGGGCTGTTAACATAAGTGAAGGGGTGTCTTGATATAGGGTTTTCTATAAAGAAAACGCGGAATAGCATATGCTGCCAGCTTGTATTCCGGGATTCAAACCCGGGTCAAAAGACCAGTATTCAGTGGTTTTATCGTATAGGCCATTGGTACTCCCAGAAGAAAAATGTGAAATTTCAGGTATTGTATTGTGATTAACTTGCGATCATTTTCTACACAATATCGCAGCAAGAAGAGCAATAAAAATTTTTAACTTTCTAGAATAAGAACAGGAAACTGATACTTTTCCTCCTTGACTGAGATGCGGGCTTTAATATAAAATACTCTTAAATCTATTCCTAGGAAACTAAGCAAAACTTGTAGTGCAAATATTTTCATACATTGATTTGACGCAAAGGGATGTTTTTACATTTCGCTTTTTCAGAATGTTTGCGCTAAAAACGCGCAACTTGCACATCGCATACCTTTTGTCACCACAAAATACAACTGTGATGTCGCTTCCCTAACTAATCATCATTTTCGCCCTTAATGCACTTTTTTCTTCATCTGAACCTGATTTATGATATCAATAAGCACAGTGCATTGTCATTCATTGTATGCATCTCACAACGTGGTTCGAAATATGTGTTACTTAAATGGAACCACTATTAGTGCTACTTATACTCATGGATATTAACTTTTTCAGAATTTCGCTCTTTCAATCACAGGTTGCTAATGTTAACAGTATTTATTCGCAGGACTGGATGCAGAGAAAAGTATTCATATTTCAAGCAACTTTAATCTCATGTTAACTACGAAAACAAATGGTACTAAGAATGCATTATAACGCTCAATTTCTTAGTTGCTCAGTAAAATTCTAACTTGAAGAAAATAAGTTGATTGTTTGTTTAAGTATACATTTTTATATCAATGCATTGTTTAGACCATTTTTGCCGATTCACGAATGAATGGAAATTAAAGCATTTTTATCCACAGTCATTAATGTGTAACAGTCTTCATTTTATCTATAACCTGTAAAAGTGACCAAGCACTAATTCAGAGAAAATAAAAAATATCCTAAATATAATTTTATTCCTTAAAAATGTATATATAAAATATTGAAAGACGTCGCCATATTATGCTTAGTTATTTACTGTACGCTTGGATGAACAAGGCTAACACTGCTACTTTAAAGCAAAATTGCTTACGTCAGCATATTTAAAGCTATCATGTTAAATTAACGTAAAAAAAGTACAGTAAACTATGTTATCACTTTGTTTTTTAAGAACTTGTTTCTAGTAATAGCTCAAAATATAAATATTTAACCATTAGATATACAAAAATTTTAGCATACTATATTGATAAATGTTAGGATATATCTGTAAACATTTTTTTTTTATTTTTGGCTCCCTACAGTACGCAGGAGATTTAAGTTTTTGCCTTAATTCAAATTTATGAGAAGCACGTACTCAAAGCTATCCAAAATTTCAGCATTAAAATAAATAATTTCGCCCTTAAAACAGGTTCGCATGCAAAGCTATCAAACTTTTTAATGTCATTAATTTCATGAAACAGAAAATTTATGGTATGAAATAAAATAATAATGGATACAAACGGAAAATTCATGTAGCAAAGGGCAAAAGAGAAATACGAACACGTCTTTACACAAAAGCACGCAGAAAACTGAGCATCGAATTCCATTGCATTAAACGTATGAAAATATGTATTTCGATTTCATTAGAATAAGAGTTAATCTTAGTGAACTATAATGGAATTAGTATATAGCAAAATTCGTTTAATTGTGACAATAAAGTTTATTCAGATGTTTAATGACAGCTCCGAAAGTTAAAATATTTAAATAAATTTCTACTGAACTCTTTTGAACACATAACCTGAATCTTCGTTAATTATGTAATTTAATCATCAGAAATTTAAAATGAAAAAAAATGTAATTTCCATTTTACCTGCACGCTTTGTCTTTGGCATTTAAATTTTTTCTAATAAGAATATATTGAATTTAATAAAAAAAAAATTAATTTTTCTAAATTTTCTAGTCTAAAATTAAATTTTTCTAAAGCACGCACTTTAATTACTTTCATCTGCATATTATTAGAAATCTAAATTTCACTCAAAGAAGTGAAAACTTACGGACACAGGTTTGTTTACTTTAAAAGTACGGAAGTATTAACTAAAATTATCATAAAAACTTTAATTAGACTGTAAAGGAGTTCTTTGAATTCTTCAGAATTATAGCAAAAATTAACGAAAGGTAATATTAAAAATATTTACCTCTTGCCCTGTGCATGTGTTAGCAACCGAATTAGATGGAGAGGCAATAACCCCCAATGGTTGACGTGGAGCAGGGCTGGTTATGCGAGGTTTCATCAGGGGATGAGACACAGGATGCGATTCCAAAGTGATTTGCAAGTCAACAATATAATCAATCACGTATTGGATTATTTCGAGTTTAGACAATTTTCTATTTCTTGGCATATTTGGAACTATTTCCTTCAGCTTTGCTAAAAGCGCCTGTATCTCATCATGTGTGACATCTTTTTCTGTTCTCGTTCGCTTACTTTTCATCATTTTGTGCTTACTTCGTCTGGCAATCACAGGCATTGAAAATTCTTGTTGATGTTAGACTGGAGGAGAGTTAATGATGCTGTACGGCTGAGGATGAGTCCCAAGTCAACTGATAGGAAATTTTCCTAAGTGTCGTTGCATATTATCACCACCTGGGGGCGGGACAAACGCATGCGCGTTCATGTGGGCGGTGCTAGAAAATATACATCTGGGCTGCAGCTGCCCAATGGGGGATGGCGATGGCATCGCAAAACGTCAATCACCTATGCGATCTTCACTTGATGTTATCGTGGGAATCTGTGCGTTGGTCGCACCCAGATGCAATGCAGAATGACTGGCATCTGTTGAAATCAATGTCTTGGCGACCACTGGTGCCCTCTGGTGACAACGTAAGTAGTGAAATTTTATATCTCTTTATAATGTAAATAAACATTAGAACAGCAGATTGTAGCTTTATCTACTCATCAACAGCTAAACACATTCGTAGCTCAATATATGTTTTCTTATTTGTCTAAAGCGGTAAATATGTTTCAATCCGAATTTTAAGAAAGAAGGAATTTTTATTAAAGTAAAACCAGTAAAAGTTTTAGCAAAATAAATATTCATCTTTCTAAAAACATTATATGGTGCCAATGGACATAAAAAAACATAAAATGAATAGTCAAATTAAAATTAGATTTGCCAATTACTTTAATTAATGATGTAAATTGTATCTGTAAAGTACAATCTTAAAAAATATGTTAAATGTTTTATTTGTCATTATTTTAAATCTAAAATTAAATTCCTTTTTCCAGTTAAACTAACCTCAAATATAATGCTTTTATAAAAATGTGAAATGATGTTAAATAGCTATCTAAAATATTAAGACGGTTTAGAATAATATTACCATTACGAACAAATTTTATAGAGGCTGATATAACTCTATAGAAATTTCTATAGAGCTCCGTAGGCATTTCTGCAGAGTTCTGTCACCCTGTATAAAAATATTTTTTAAAGGTAATTTTACAGTTAAGAAAATCTTTGTGTATCATTTCAGTATTAAGACAAATGATTAGTCCACAACGTGCATTAATTAGAGTTCAGATCTCAAATGCTTAATTCTCTTCCTGTTAGATGACACTTAACCAGTGCCATCTCGTGTATCAAAGACATTTTTTTTCAAACGTATTTTTAAGCAGAATTTGCTAATTAAACTGAAACTAATTTCACTATTTTTCTATAGTTTAATACGTAAATGCACGATATACACTTATAAATATAGAGATTGAATAACTGGGGGGATTAACCTTTCGTAAATTTTGTTACAGTAATTTACGTCATTTCTTACATAGCTGTCGTCTAAGATTTAGCTTCTACAAAATTCTTTTGCTATTTTTTAATGTCTAAAGTATCGATATAGTTTTCTATCGATATGTTGACATGTTTAATAACTTACAAAAAGATTTTGAGAACAAATGATATTTTTGTTTGTTTCGCTTTGTAAATCTCTTTTCCCCGGAAGCTTAAAGTTAAATAAATTCGCAATATTATACCAGTTCTTTGAAAATGTTCCAGATATTTTTCTTTTTTAACATATAGGTGAAAACATCTTAAGGATACATACCTTGCATGCATACATATATATACATATACAGTCAGATAGGTAGGTAGATAGATAGATACAAAATTGAAGAATATTTAGCGTTTAAGGAAATATTAAATCTGAAGAATGTTTAAACGTTTTCCCTCATATTGCTTTCAATCCGTGCCTTCCTGTTAGATAAATTGCCACTTTTCATTGATAAATATTCTTTCACCATATGTATATGTGTAAAGAAAAATTTCAAGGTGGTTACATAGAAGGTGCATGAAGATTTAGTCCCGCGGAAATGTAACTAGAAGCACAGGGGTAAATGAGAGAAAAATGTGTTGATTACCATATTGAATGTCCAGAATTTAATTAAGTTTTTGGTTTAAAAAATTTACTCTTACTCTTCTCTAAAAGTGTTTTTTTTGGGGGGGGTGTAAGTACATGTGTCATAAACATTATATAAGAACAGGGCCGGCGCCAGTGTATGTGCAACCGTTGCGGCCGCACCGGGCGCCAGAATTTTGGATTCGCGGCAAAAGTCTAGGGTGGGTCCTGTAAAATAATTACATAACAAAAATTCATTTTGAAATGAGCCCAGTTTAGAAACATTTATTATAAGTATTTTACTATTTTTAGGCTAGAAACTCGGAAATAACCGAATTCAGAATGAGGCTTAGTTTTGCATAAATTTTTGTAAGTATTTTCATGAACTTGCATCACTTCTATCTCCCTTTGTATTTTGAACGACTTTAAATTCTTCATTGCACTGTTTGCTGAAAAGAACTGCATTTTAAAAGCTTAAACTTGGTTAAAGTCTTACTTATGCATTGATTCATTTAATTCAATAATAAGTAAGCAAAATTCTCTGCACAGTATTCACCAGTGACCAGATAAGTGTTGAGCTTGGCTTCAAGTACCAGCAAACGGGCTGGTTGCATGAGAGTTTTCGTAGTTTTCCTCATATTCAAAATAAATGTGAGCCTGTTTCCTTTAAAATGTCCTTCACGGATGCACCCCTGCTCTTAGACATAGAACCTTCGAACACTTTGAGATAATCTACATAATCCATCCAATCTTCTGGAGACTGTACATTGTAAAAGTAATCACAACGTGTATAAGCTTTCACAAGTATTATAGTTTAATTTTAATAAACTAATTATAGGTAATAAATAATGACATTACATAATTAATACATCCCACTGCAATAATAATGCTGAGGCAATAATTACACATGATTATATTACAAAGTGGACATATCAAAGTGACAAAATTGTAAATTTCAGTTCGGTTTGTATTAGCTTATTTAATACGGCAATACCTAAGCGATAGGCAAAGGGATGTTATCGTGGAAGAATTTTTAACGGGAAACTGGATAGTCTTCACATCACAGATGGCAAACACTACGAAAACTCCCATGCGCTCCCAGGGTTCTCCAGCGGCCTAGCGGTAAAGCCGCTGGACACTGTAGTTCAATCCGTGGTACGAATCCCGGCGAACGAGCTGGCTGCATGGGTATTTTTGTGGTTTTTCCCATGCGTAACGTGTATACGAGCCAGTTTCCTGTAGAAAGTCCTCCGGACCTTAGGGAATAAGGAAGCCGCCAAATATGCTAAAGAAGCAGCAAGCAATCAAAACTCTAGTCCAACTATCATCCCATTCCTTAAATCCCAGATTAAAAAATCATTAAATGAGATAATGATTAAAAGATGGGGTATTCCCATCTTTGGCAAAACGCACAACAAGGCAGAAGAGCCTTTAGATTTATCCCAAGCATCAAAGAGAAGAACAATAGCATTAACCCTTACATAAAATGGTATATTACTGGACATGACCCCTTCCCTACATGTTTCTATGAAAGAAACATCTCTGAAAGTGACACATCTGAGATAGGAGCGATTCAGAACACTACATTTTTACTGTCCCTTAACAGAGGAACTACATCTTAGAAAACCAACTCAGTACTTGGTTCCGTTTTTAAAGTATGACACAGCAAATAAGCACCTTCGAATAAAAATACAAAAAATAATCGAGTTCTTAGCAGCTAAAGGACAAGAGTTATGTGCTCCCATGTAACACAATCCCTCCCACACAATCCCTAACTAGTTATACTATAACTAGCGAAAAGTACTATAGCGCAAATGGTCCGCAGAACTTTGTATGTGAAATTAAGTACTTGTTCTATCATAAAATAAATTAAAAATTCAAATTAATGTAACTGCACTACAGCATGCATATTAATAACAGTGATATGGTAAATATAATTAATTTGGTAGAATTTTTATCATATGAACTTTGGCAAACTACGAGATTGCAACAAAATAATGCTAATACGAACTCTATGTAATTATATACTATATATAAAAGGAATTCCTCGCAAGAAACGTAAGCATCACGAAACTGACTGAAACAGCTGTAGAACTACAACCCACAAAATACTGAATCAAACAAACACGTGAACAACCATATTAACCATATTCCATATGATTTAACAATATGCAACAAATTTGTAACTACCATGTAAAATCAGTTGTATCACCATGTTGAAGTAATATTCATGTACCACCATGCATAATGTAACTTTTAATAGATGTAAATGTATATATGAAGCGACATGCGAACGAACCCCTAATGCACCGCTGGTAGTGGTAGGGCCCGCGGTGTAGCGTGAGGCGGGCATCTTCTGTTCCAAGCTAGGCTATTCGGAAAAGTTAGTAGGAAAGGACAACACTTGGATCACCTGTTGGTATATATCTGGTGTCCCCCTACTTTTACCTATACCTATAAAAGCATCCTTTCCTTAGGCAGATTCCCCTCGAGTGCTTTGGCATCATTAAATAAATCAAACCTATGCAGCCAGTTCGATCGCACAGATCTGAACCAGTATTTAGTGGACTAGAAGAGAAACACGCTAATGTGACAATCAAAATCGTAAAAACAACCTTGTATTTAGCGTAGGTATAATGAAACACTCAATCGATTTCGAGGGCAGCTAAAGGTCCCTCCTCATCAGGAGAAAAGAAATACCTAGAAAGAAGAAAATAAAGGAGAAGGAGTCACAGAAACACGTGGTCCTTATTAGCACTGCACGTGGTTATAACTAGATTTTTAATCAGAGTTGCACTGTCCGCCTACTTTTACTGAGCCAGGCTATCTGATCGAGCATGAAAAAATTAGCGAAGTTAAAATAGGGAGCGAGGGGCAAATGCACCTTACGCTCAAAATCTGAACTTCAAATAATCTAGATGGCGTTACCTCCTCGCGTTTGGTACTACCAAAGAGTATAAAAATCCGTTCAGTGGTTGCTTTCCATTATTTGAAGTTCAGATTTTGAGCGTAAGGTGCATTTGCCCCTCGCTCCCTATTTTAACTTCGCTAATTTTTTCATGCTCGATCAGATAGCCTGGCTCAGTAAAAGTAGGCGGTCAGTGCAACTCTGATTAAAAATCTAGTTATAACCACGTGCAGTGCTGATAAGGACCACGTGTTTCTGTGACTCCTACTCCTTTATTTTCTTCTTTCTAGGTA